AGTGTCACTGTGATTCTGCTCTGGGTCATCTAAATAACAGGTAAAATAACAGTTCTGAGAGGCCGCATCCCTGTCAGGGGGAGGAAGAGGATTGACTCCAGCCACCCTAGGACAGTAATGACCCCTTTCATTTGCCCCATTCATAGACAACAATTAGAGCCACTTTGTTCCTTTTGTAGTGATGAGTACAATCTCTCAATTTTCTTGATTTTGCCTCTTTATTTGGCAGCAGGTCTAATGCCAATATGCAACTCTGTTAGTTTGTTCTTTCATTTTTAAGAAGCAATTGCTTGGTTTCAAAAAATAAAGTAAAATAAAATAATATTGCTCTTTTATGCTGGGAATTTTTCTGCTGCAACTAACATAAAAATTGGTGAGTGGCCTAATCAAATAGAGGCCTATTTTTATTCCAAGACATATCACTGAGCAACGTGCCCAGAACTGACAATGTCACAGGTCTATGCCCTGCCTTTCTTTATTCTTGTGCTTCTTCAATATTTTTGCTTCTGTCCTTGTGCATATCCCTTTGTGAACTTTATGCTTGTGTCTCAGAAAGTTTGAATGTTGTGAAGTGGGCCTAGCAACACTGGCCTCAACTTCACCCTTCTAGGAAGAAAGAAAGACATTCAGAGATATGTGTTAGTGCCTCTGCCCTAGGTGTTAACTGTCCTGGGGGGTGTCGTATGTCCACATCTGAATGTAAGAGAGATTGGAGAAGATGACACTTTTCACTGCATACATTACTATGCTGAACAAAATCAGGACTAATTTAGAGAGGACAGCAGGGATAGATGGATGGTATTATGCATTATTCTGGTAATTGTCAATCTAGAAGCATAATTGGGTTAATTTATTCTCCTTGCATAAGTAACCTTACCATTACATTTCTTCTTAACTAAATGAAGTTCTTGTAGACAACTTTGAATAACTTAAGAATTTTTCATGTTGCTTGATATAACAAGTAGCTCATAATATTTATAAAAAGAAAATCAAAAACTGATTTTAGATAACCTAAATCCCGAATTTGGAATAAAATAATGATTATCTCACAGTGTTGTGATGATGGTAAACCAAAGTAATGCTTATGAACATAAATTGTTATCTCTATAATTATTTATTCAACCATATACCATCCTTACTAGGTGTTATACATCAATCACTATTATAGTAGATACTAGGGACTCTGTGGCAAACAAGCAAGATACTATGAATGTTCTCATTTAGTGAAACAGACATGCAATAAACAAATAAACTTGGAATATAATTTCAGGAAAAGTAACAAAAGGCAAGAGAGGGTTCTATGGGAAGAGATCATCTTTAAAGAAGTGATTTTGAAAACTTTGTCCTGACACTCAAAACTCTAAATATCCAAATTTCAAGTCAGATATCCTTGACAAAAAATGTGGTTATTTCCTGAAGAAAAACATTAGATCCCTTTTACCTTAGAGATAGTAATGTGAACTGTTACAGTAAATGCCTGTTTCTCTTTCCCAGAGAATGGCTGTCTGTCTAACTCATTGCTAAGTGAATGCAATTTCACCATGGAGTGTTTCATTCATAGAAAAATTGAACAAGAAAGTGACTAGGTTTCTCATCTTTCTATTTCATATTATTCTAGAAAACTTTGTTATGTCCTTGCAGAATGTGATAACTCCTTTTCCTACAGTCAAGGTCATACCTTGATCCTCACACTTCTAACACGGAGGGAATTATGATATCCATCAGGGATCTGTAGAGAAATATGCATTGGCAAATATTTAAAATACTGCTTTAAACATTAATTTAAACCCATTTAAGCGTTCTGAAAAAAAAATATTAAGTAGCATTCATTGAGAGTTCAGTTACTGTAGAATAGTGTCCAATGATTGTATTCGCATGACTGATGGAGAGTAATTGAGTAGCTGTTTGTGGATTTTGTGATGATAGCCATGTTAGTGTGCAATCACATACAGTTCAGAGAAAGAGTCTTTATATATCCTATGTGTCTTTTTTTTCCTTAAGGATGTTCTGTTTACTACAAGTATGTTTCTTAACTGTGGAATTGTCCATGATTTTAATCATTAATTCCTCTTTTCTTAAAGCTATTTCCAAAAAGTATCTTTAGATAAGGCAGCTCCTTCGTTAAGATTATTTATTTTCTTGAAAGGCAGTCACAAAAAAAGAAAGAGTGAGAGAAAGGGTAAGAGAGAGAGAGAGAGAGAGAGAGAGAGAGAGAACGCTTCCATTTGTTAGTTCACTCTCCAAGTGGGTACAACAGCCAGGGCTGGACAAGCTGAAACCAGGAGCTAGGAACTCCAAATAGGTCTCCCCCATGGGTGACAGGGACCCAAGCACAGTGGGACATCTTCTACTGCTTTCCTAGGCACATTAGCAGAGAGCTAAATTGGAACTTGGACAGCTAGGAATTGAACCCTTGTTCATTTGGCATGAGAACACTGCAGGTGGCAGGCAATCCCCCGTACTATGGCACTGGAGTCGTAAGTCAGCTTTTATTTCTCTTTATTCCTCCAGATATTTCACAAAGAATATAAGTGGCTAAAAATATTTTCTTATTGCTCAGTAATTGTAATGTATAATATTCGAAATTTAAATGCTATTTCACTATCATCGCACATTGGACTTGGCTTCCATTAGTAGTTTCACATAACATAATCATACTATCTTAAAAATTTATGGATTATATGAAAGGCTCTTTTCTATACTGTGAGAGCCTCCATAGTTTTCATCTATTCATTGTGTAGGTGAGAGTTCATTACAGTGTTGAAGACTGATTGATATTTGGAATGCAATGAGATGAGAGTGGGAATATCAGGGACCCAGGTTTCTGCCACAGAATTGATGCGATTTACTGAGATGAGTGGCTCTAAGGAAAAGAAAGTTGGGGACAAGATGATAAATTGAGTTTGAAGATGTTGAGTGGCAAGTCAGAAACACAGTGTATATGGGAACATAAACAAAGTTGGGGCTAGTCTGTATACATCTTCAACTCATGGTCAGTCTGTGAAACTGCAGGTATGAAGCTCAGGAACAAACCTTCCGGAAGTTCTCTGCATGTTTAAAATTAGAAAAGGAAAAGCTGTCGAGATTGCTGATGACTTTCCTCATGCAGAAGTGAAGCTGTCAGTGTGGTGGTACCAGAGCACAGGATAGGAACAGTTCAAGGAGATGGGCAGCCGTGATCAGGAGAAGCTCTGTGACCTTGGGTGTGAGGCGTGGTTAGCAACAGGACTGAGATTGAGCTGTGACTGCCTTTCAGGTAAGTAAATGATTTAGCACGCAGAGAGAACCGGTGAGCGTGGAAGAGAGATTTTATGTGGATTGGTAGATGAGAGAGAACAGAAGTAGGAGCTGAGAAGTTTCACTGTGAGGTAGAAAAGGGAGAGAAGCAGTGAGGGGAATGTGGGGTTTTGTTGAATGTGATTTTGTTTGATTTCTTTTTGTAATGAAGGAAACTGGATAATGTTTCAACGCTAGTCAGTAGTCAAGGAGCTACTGAAATAAGTGGTAGAATAAAGAGCCTGAAGAATGGAGGATGGATCAGAGTTAGACATAATCGGTGAGGGTTTTTTTCTGGAGGGGGAAGGGTACTCCCAGCACAGTGAGAGAAAGGAGGGCATATGGTGGGTGAGGATGAAATTCCTGTGCACTGGCTCCTGGTTCCTCAGCATCAGGCAGGCTCAGCTGCTGAGAGCTGAAGTGTGAAGGTAGCAAATCTGCGAGAGTGGTGTTTTGATAACCCAGTCTCCACCAGGCAACATTTTCCCAAGAGGGCTTACTATGCAAAATGACATGCAGGATGACTGGCTTTTTCCCCCACAACAGCCTGGTGTGATAAAAAGCTGGAGGCAACAGAGGTCAGCGATCAGTAGACTCTGTGTTAGATAAGTGATGACAGAGGACTGATGAAGAAAGGAGGGAAGTGAGTAGCCATCCTCTGCTGTTGGGCATACCTGCTGGAAGGACAAGATGTACAGTTGTTTATGCTGATGCCCGAACTCTAGAGGCTGTGTGTGTGTGTGTGTCTGTGACCAACGTGGAACTGAGATGGATCTGGGGAAGAAGTCACTGGATATAAGGAGTCTTGTGAACTATTGGGGTAGTACTGTTGGTAGAGTACTCAGGAGGACACTGATTGGCTGGGTTATAGCAGGGTATGGCGTGGTACAGAAAGAAATGCCATGTTATAGTGTAGTTGATGAGGTATGATACGAATGATGAGTGTGATATCATATATGATGTGTCACACTGTACTGTAGGATGGGGCAGGATGGGATGGGATGGAGTGATGTCGCATGGTATGCTCCGGTATGGCATGGTACAGTATAAGATGGTATGGGATGTTATGTATGTAGTGGAGTGGTATATTACGTGTCGTGTAGTGTAGTACAACAGTGCCAATTTAATGCAGAATGAGTATGATACAGTATGAAATGACATTTCATGGATGTAGTGGAGTGTTGTATTGTTATGGTTTTGTGTAGTGTAACACGACACAGTCCCAGTTCAATGCAGTGTGAGGTCGGTCTCTTCTTGACCCAGCTGTGACAGCTGTTGAGTAAACATGGACTAGGTCCATGTTTATTGTCTTGGGCAAGCCCCAGTGCTAGCTCTGTTTCTGTGCTGCATTGGGGGCAGCCTTGTGCTGACTAAGGGGGAGGGAGTTCTCTGGATGCCAACAAACCAGACCATATGTCTTCAAACTCCCAGCGGACAGCTCTGTCGCCTTTCCCATTGTTAATCTGTGAAAGATATAAATGAATGTTCTTAAATTTGTCTAATTTCTTCAATGCCTCTTCATTATACTCTGTCTCTCTCTGATATCAGTTGTGCTGTTATTTATTACATCACTGATATATTTTTACTAAACCATTTCATAAAATGTTGTGAGTACCCATGAGTGTTTTTTGTTGATGAGTTATTGAAGATGATTTACATAGTTTATCCTTTTTGGTTTTGCTTTCGTGAGGGTATTTTAAGTTATGTTTTTTTACTTCTTGAAGGAACAAATGATGTGAAAATCCTTCCAGGTCAAGCTGTCTGTCCCACTCCAGGGTGCCGAGGAATAGGCCATATCCGGGGTCCACGTTATTCAGGACATCACAGGTAAACTTTTTTTCTTATTTAATGTTGCAGGAATGAATGGCTGCACTATGCAGGTGAGCAATTATGTAACATTTCACACCTGTGCCTCTTGAACTGGCTGCCCCATCACACTCTTTTCTCTGCTGCTACATCCCTTCCTTGAAGTCTCCTGCCAGCTGCCCTCCTCTGCCCTTCTACAGTCTTCTTGGATGTCTGATGCTTTTTGCAGATCACGCCCCTGACTCTGGGGTCCGGCAGCTTTCTAAACCAGCATCCTGTTCACAGGTGCGCACACACACACCCCACAGCAGGCCTGAATCAGCTCCATACCACGGCTTAGTCCTGCTTGTTTCTAGAAAACTCCTGAGCCTCTTGTCTTGCTCCCTCTGGTTTTTAGCTAGCCTCTGTTTCTTTTATTCTCTTTCTTATTCTTTGGATGAGTTCATTCTGTGACAAATAAAAAGCGTGAAGTTCTGGGGTGGAATATGCCTATACTTCAAATGCATGATAATGTGGAATGGATGGCAGTTACAAAAGAAAATAAGCATAAATAAGTCATAGTGGTGACCTAATGACAGAATGTGTAAATTAAAAGTAAGCAGAACTGACATTAAATGTGTCCAAATGCACAAAGGAAATTACAAAGAGAAAGCAATGTTATATAATGTGTAAAGCCGTAAAATATTTATTTGCGTAAAAAAAATTAAATGCAATCAGGAAGTCCTTGATTTTTCAGTGGGAGGCAATCCTGGCAGCATTGCCTAAAACCATTGTTTAAATGAATCAAAGCCAGTTTCCCGGGTAGGATATAATGACAAACACCCTAGATAGCATACATGAATTAAAATGCCATATGTGTGAAGTATATTAACACAATAAAAATAGCATAGACTGCAGAAAAAGACATCAGTTAAAGACATGCAGACAGGTTGTCTACTTGCGCAAATCTGTTGCACTCACTGGCTCTGAGAGCAAGCTGAGCCTGGTGTAAATGTCTGGGTGCAATGTGAGGGAGGGAGAGAAAGAAGAGGGAAGAGCTCCACACAGTGGGGAGGTGATCTGGATCGGGTGGAACCTCCGCTGTAGGGAGGGAGACACTTTTCAGACAGCACTGAGTCACTTCAGAGAACCTTCCTGGAGCTCTGCGTGTGTGTGTGTGTGTGTGTGTGTGTGTGTGTGCGCGTGCATGCGTGTGGTATGCGTGCAAGTGTGTGTGTGCTGTTTAGAACTACTGAGCCCAATATGTTAGTCACTAATCATGTGTGTGTTTAAATTCATGAAAATTAAATAAAATTTAAAGACAAAAATAAATTGCCTTAGTCACACTCAGCCATATTTCAGATATTCAGCAGACACACCAGGCAGGTGACAACTGTATTTGACAGCACAGGTAGAGAATGTTCACACGATCACCTAAAGTCTGTTAGGGATCCCTGAGAGCATCTAGCACATTCTGCTTTGTCTCTAGATTTTTCTTTTTTAAGTGGCTGGGTTTCTGGGTAAATAGCTCTCTTTGTCTCTGCTTCAGAACTTGGAACATTCTCCTCAAAGTAGTCAGACCACAATGTTACAGGTTATCTTGCCTACAGAGACCTGTGGAGATTCGTCATGGTGGTGCTGGTTCTAGAGTAACAGATAACCTCCCTGATTGGCTCAACCACAACCTCTTCTTGTCCTTCACGGCTGCTGACAGCCTGCCTACTATCCTCACCTGAATGGGTTCTGAGAAGGCTCTGATCAGAGCCACAGGGGCTTGCACCGCTTTGTTCCTGTGGCTTCCCCACAACATAGGCTCATCCAATCGGATATAACCAGGCCACTGTCCTTATCTGTATCATCTCATCATCATTACTGTGCACTTGACATGTTGTTTATCCTCCAGGTAGCCTCTAAAGGTTGAGCTGGGACCCTCTGAACAAGCTGTCATAATGTTAAATAAGTAAAGTAGAATTTAAAGAAAGGTATTATGTGAAACTTAGAGAAGCTTAATGAAGTGCTGCAGATGCTGACCGGGCACTGGCCGGTGTGAGCCTTTCCTGCTGTGGACCCACAAAGGCCCAGGACAGCTCAGGGCCGTGCTGGGCTCCAGGCTCCTGGCCCAGTCTCAGCCTGACAAGGCAGAGCTCATGAGAGCACGGGAGCAAGGGATTGGGAAGCTTAATGATTCCGGATTCTCACAAATGAAAAATGGGAAGCAATGAGTAACTGTCATTAGCTTCTCTTCAGAATGGAAAAGCTGAAAGTGAGAGAACTGGATGCTTCTTGAACTTACTTACATTTTTAGGTAGGATTTATAAGGTATTTAAACTAGGAGGTAAATAAACTTTAACTTTATTGTGAAAAGAACTGCAAATAGTCTTTACGGCGATTCATGCTGATTTGTATTAAAGCAGTGAGGACAGTTTCTTGGTCGAGCAGTGGAACATAAGCCAATCCCTGCAGTATGGGGACCCGGGGTAATCAAGTGCTGGATAGTTCTACCTCTTGCTTTAAGTCATTTAGTCATAGTATTAACCAAGATAATCAGTTTCCAAATGTGATTTGTAACTTGAAATCATGCAAGCTTTCCTAGCTGACTTGGGTTTGTTTTCATATTCTTTGTATTGTGATGGTCTCGATTTCATGTAGCTCTGGAAGATGACGATTACTGTTCTTCAGGATGTATCTGGTTGTGTGTTGAGAACAAACACATGCCTGCTATTACATCACCCTAACACACCCTCGGTTTGCATTAGCCTTTGATTTTTTATTTGTCAAAGAGATAGTAAACGAGAGAGGAAGATTTTAAAATGCCGCTGCCTTCTCCCAGATCCCTAGATGTGCTATTATCAATGTTTCTGGCTTGAGATTCCCGAAAAATTTGAATGAGTACAATTTGCATACTGCAAAATGAAAATATTTTCTCATGTTTTAGATATGTCCCACTACCAAAGAAGCATGATTGTCTAAGATGCTTCTTGCTGTCTCTAGAAGGTAAATATTCTTTTAAAAATTTTAACCAAGAAGAAAACAAAATTCAGAGCAGAAAGCCCCTCCAGCTTCACTAAGGCCTTATACAACAAGCCAGTTGACTTCTGCTTGTAAAACCTCAGGGAAAGCTTTAAAGCTCGTAGCTGTACTTGAAAGACACGGTGATCTCAGGCTTTGCTCTAAAGTACTGCCAGGCAGCAACGGCTTGCAAGAAGTGAAAGCTGTTCTTACCATTTCATGTCAGAATTTCTGATTCTGATATTGAAGGCTTGCTGCTTCGGAAGGAAGTAAACAATTTCCTTAAAATAAGTTGTCAGCTTCTTGTTTTATACAGCTGACTAGAACAGTGACATCAAGATGGCACTGAAGACATTTGAAAATGATATAGCACTTTAGCAGGTCAGGTGGACTGCCTCAATGGCTTAGGTGGATTTCAGACAGGTTGTTTTAGTTTTCACTAAGGTGAGCAAGGGGTTAACAATAATATACAAAGCTGTTTGGAGTTCAGGTAGAATCTGCATCAACCATTATTTGAAAGAAAATTGCATCAGTTCTTATCTTTATGAAAATAGGACTTTTGGCACACAATTATCACATCATTTACATTTTATTTCAATGAATTTACATAGTGAATAAAATGAAGTAGGTGTATTTGTTAACATAGAAATGTTTGGAGATGACAACATTGGAAATGCAAGATGTAAACTTGCTTTTGTGCCAGGGTCCAGGATTAGATGTGAAGTTGTTTTTTCTAAGTGAGTAAACCACACAGTGTAGGAGACTTGAACTGACTCTGTCATAAAACACACAAAGGCAGTTAACTGAGGCGTTAACAATTATGCTTTTTACATAGAAAGCTAAATATTCTAACAACGTGAGGACCTCTGGCCCCAGCCCATACACAACTAATGTGCTCCACTTTAAACCACCTAGAAAGAAAAGGTGCATGCTGCTCGGGGGGTGGGGAGGTGTCAAATAATTCTTCATGGAAGCTTAGAGTATACCCTAGTGTCTACTTAGGAATTTCCTGGAATCTCTGTGTCACTTCAAGAACAGTCATGGGCCACAGGTATTGTGTACAGCAGTGAGGATACTGCTTGGGACATGTAAGTCCCACATTGGAGTGTCTGGATTCAAGCTCCAGCTTTCTGCTAATGTGCATGCCAGACATAGCATGAGATGGCCAAATAGTTGCTCTTGCCATCCACTCAGGAGACCTGAGTCGAGCTCCCAACTCTTGGCTTCAGTTGAGCCCAAGCATTGCAGTCACTGGTAGAGTGAACAACCACATGGGAGTTCTGTCTGCAGTGTCTCCCTCTCTGAGCACCTGCATAGCTCATAAACAAATTAATTAAGGTACAAGAACAGCAACTGAAATTATTTCTGTCTCTTTTTCGCCACTCAAATTTGTTCTTGTGCATGTGTGTGCGTGTGTGTGTGTGTGTGATCTCAGTCTATTCATGTTCAAAGATAAAAATTTGCAAAGACAGATGCTTATTTCTACCTTGCTTCTATGTCCTATGGATCAAATCATTCCACTCTTTCTGGTTTGTTTCCTCATCTGTGAATTAGAACTTTTGTAGTAGAAAATGTTCAATTTCATGATGTTAAAGATGATATAAATCTTTGTTAACTGAAACAACACACATTATTAAAATCATAACTGTGAAAAACACATTATTAAAGTCATAACTGTCGAAAAATAAGGAGAGCAGAATATGAAAAGCTTTTAACTCACCCATTTCAGACAGTGATAGGTGAAATACACAAAACAGAACTAAGGACACAGCTTTCTGAATAACAGAGCTGCTTGTGCTCTCTGTGGCTGAGGCTCAGGACTGTCTGCCTGAACCTCTCCTCCATTTCTCCTCCACTCCTTTCACTGCCATTTTTATTATATTATATTATAATATTACATTACATTACATTATATTTATTACACTATATATAATAAAAATAATGTAATATAATATAATATATTCATTTTGGTTTTGCTGGGAAGGCAGATTTACAGAGAGAAGGAGAGATAGAAAGATTCTTCTTCCTTCTGC